ACTGATCAGAATCCTGGAAACGATCCATGATCCCTCTATACCACCCTTCCTCTATATTGATCCTTCAAACACTGCGCCAATGCAAAAAAAGACAATCCGACAGAGATGGCAATGTTCGACCGATCACGCAACTGTAGTGCAAATCAAAATGATTCTTCAACTTGCAATGTGTATACCTCACATAATTGTGCCAGCCCCGCGTGCACGGGTCTTGGCTTGGAACTTGGATCGCACTCTCCAGAGATTGCCCCGGCTGAGGCTGGGCATTGTCGCCAAGCCGCCTGCAGAGAGGAGCAGAGACGTATATAGGTGTGAGATGGTGGGAGGAGCAGTGGGTGTGACCTGATGGGGCGTGCACTCAACCGAGATCAAGTAATGGAATGGGCCAATTTCTTTGGATGAACATAATAGGTTTGATGGCGGCTTTCCAACAAATAATTGGGGTTGACACCGACACTGGTATAAAGTATATAGGTATATGTAACACTGCAGGTTGTCGATCCTCAAATCTTTTCCGTTGGTGCGGATGGTCAGAGCTCAGCCGCAGGAAACCACTGGCAAACTTCATTGCCAAAGACCATATATGTTCACTCGCGTTGCCCCTACACCCCCCCTTCTACATATAGCACCATCAAGATCATCAATTCAGCGAAAGAAATTACATATTGTTTGTGTATACTGATTTGGCAGAAACAATTGAAGCTGTCCATCCAAAGGCAGGGGCATACCTAAAGGCTGTCGCGAGATTCCATATATACAACCCCATATATCAAAATGATGGCTCCAGCTCTCTACAAAGATGCATATTATGCACCATGCTCCGGTTCAGGCGACAGTTGTCCCAAACGGTACAGGGCAAGCAAGGCGTTGTGCTTGAGCTGCAAGTTCAACTCGCCATCCTTTTCGTAGGGCTCATGATTCTCGAATCCTGCTGCCTTATAGGAGCGTGCCAGATTGTTACACAATATATACTCTCTAAAAAAGGGGATCGTTTGCTTTAAATATGCAACCGCAAAAAGAAAGCTGCGTGTTGTTTTGTTTGTGCACGTGGTGGCATGCGTGTACAACATGCAATCATCCATCAGGTGTTATAGAAGATGAAATCTCTACAACTGGTGGGAAACAGATCCTGATGTGTCCAGCGCATACTTGGCAAAAGCTAAGCTACAGAAATCATAGCACACTTGAGGGCCACAGTCATCTTGTGGACATCACAGGCCGAAGTTTGGTTGAAGGCAAAGTGAAGCACATCGTTTCCATCACAAAGGGAATGAACACCAACACCGGCCCTAGTCCAGTAGGCATTGATTCTGTATTCTGAGAACTTGTCCATCTTTCCCCGTGCAAGACCCTTAAACTTGTCACCTTTGATGGACAGTTTGGGATCAAACCCCGCCGCAAAGTCTGCAAGTTCAATGACCAGATCATCTTTGTACAAGGGCGATCCCATTTGCGCTGTCAACCAAGCCTCGTTTTGACCGTCTACCGTTACGCGCGGTCTTCCACGAGCTTTTGCCTTGGCCTTACCGCTGGCCTTTTTGCTGGCAGGTTCTTTCGGGCTGGCCGTCGCACCCTTCCCCTTGCTGCTTGAAGACTTTGCAGACTTGGCATTGGGTCTGGATGGAGCTGAGGGCTGTGCTTTGTCCTTTGTACGAGTTTTCCTCTTTGTTGTCGTCTCCTGGGTTGCCTTCGCAGCAGCTGAGCTAGAGCTTGCACTTGGTGTCTTTTTTGCGATCTTTGACTTCTCATGACCCTCACTGGCCTCAATGGCCTCATCCATGGCTGAATGATTGGGTTTGAGAATCTTGCGCTTACGGCTCACTCGTGCTTTCGTTGGCGGTTTCTTTCCCTTCCCCTTTCCTCCCTTTCCTCCCTTTCCTCCCTTTCTTCCCTTTCTTCCCTTTCTTTTCTTCTTCCCACCTTTCTTGCCGCCTCTCTTTCTTTCAGTCTTCTTGCTAGATTTGAAGCGAAGCTGATCATCCCTAGTCAACAGCTCACGAGGTGTCTCCTTTGCCTCCTCCCCCTGGATTTTCTCCCCATTGCACATGGGCGCTTCCTCCTTCTTGGCCTCCATCTTGGCCTCCATCTTGGCCTCCATCGGTGAGTCACGGTTTTCCTCCGCTGCCTCAGCCAGGTGGTGGCTTGAAGTCCCATGCAAGAGGGCATAAAGGAAGGAAGAAGTAGGGTGTTCATGTCTTGACCCAATAATACCGAATACATAGTTCCCATAAACTTGCAACCCAAATTGCGGAGGGTAGTGAATACACTGTGGCCGTCCCAGGAGCTGGCTTGCCAGAGGCGCGCTGGAACTGGTCTCGGCGTTTGTCGGAGGGAACATCGGGTGATGTAGACCGTGATAGAGAATCCGGAGCAACAACCTCCAGAATGTCGTGCAGTGGCTGGGTCTCCACGTTGTCAGGAGCAACGCGCTGTGGACCTGTGGATGTTCCTGTCAGAGGTCATGTACTGCTTTGACAATCACGGGTGTTTCTCGTTCAGTTACACATGCACCAAAAAAGGAACACAAGTTGCATGCTCGTATCGATTTGTACACAACCCATGCCTTGGGGCGGGCTGGCATCCTCAGACTTCATCCGTTGGATGGCTTGTTGAAGACGCAGCTTCCTCTCTCGGATCCTGGTGAGGCAACATATTGAAGAACAATTGTAACAAGTACAAACGGGGGACACCTATATAGCGACTATTTACATCAATTTGGACATTCCCTGACAGTTTTTGCATCAGAAGATCTAAGCCCCTAACTGTTCCAAACGCCTTTGAGCTTCTGCCAACTGGCGGTTCTGCTCAGCAATAACAGAATCGCAATGTGCGTGTTGGCGACCTTGATGGGATTGGCATGCTGCATATGGCTTAGACACATGCAGCACAGGGTGAGTTCAAAGGTCCATCCACATGAAATGATGATATACAGGTTTCTATATGTACAGCCGGGATAGGGTTTGATTGCCAAGCCCCAGGCGAAGAGCTTCTTCTTCATGTTCCGGAGCTACAGGACCGGGGCCCTTCGTTTCCGACTCTTGCTGGAAAATGGGCCGAGAACCTGGGCTTGGGCTGCGAGGATGGGCATTTGGCACTTCAGTCGAAGAAGTTTCTGGTTGTCCTTCAATGTCCTTCCCTCGAATCTCCGCGTCAGAGCCAGACTCCTCATCGTCACTGCTCTCAGATTCAGAGTTATCATATGCATCCAAATCCTTTTCATGGTCCTGAAGCGGAGGGAAGCAACTTGTCTTGTATATATATATTGGTTTGCATATTTCGTCCAGGAATCGACATCAAACACCCTGTGCACCGGTACCGGGAACCTGCCTCTAGATTCTCATGGCTGCCAACTTTCTCTTGCTGGGCCTTGTTGATCTCCCCACAGAGCTCCTGATCATGGTGCAAAAGGTGTTGAAACAATATAGCGCATATGCATGCAGTGATTATATGAAAAAGGGGATTCAATTGTTATATAATTGAAATGCACCCCCCTGTCCTCAAGTGTAGGGTTGAGGATGCAGCAGAGTTCTTGGAAGAGCTTTGACTCAGTTGGCATGGAGGAATAGTGACACAGATCTCTCACAATTCTCAAAGAGGTTTCTTTTCTGCAAAATAGCTGTTGCCACAACAAAACAATTCAATTTAAGATCATGAACTGGAAATTTATCATCAATGTTCATGGGTGTCATATATACTGATTCAGATGAGGGGCAGTTGAGACCAACTGCTTTCGAGTCTTCATCTTCACGAGGGCAAGGAACTTCCGAATGTACCAGCTGTCATCAATGATAGCCTTCTCATCCACAGTAGTGCGGCCAGCCTTTTGGTACAACAGACCTATTTGGTGCCTCAACTGTCGAACAGGTGGTTGCGGATGTAGCTCAACACCAGCAGTTCGTAGCAAGATCGGTTTCAACACCGCGTGGACGTGCGCATGTCCAACATGCTTGATACAAATGCTGATGTTCTCATCAAACAAGACTCTTGTGGAATCCGCTCGCAGATACTCTCTAATGACTTCTGCAGAATCCCATTCTTTGGCAAGATCACTGATGTCCACTTTTGTTTTTTTCGGAACCCTCTCCTTGACCATGGCTCCACAAATAGAAGCGTTTGTTGCTGACTCGGAGCGATTTGAGTTAAAGTGCTACACATGCATGCATGCACGCACCTTTTTGCATGCCCAACATGCACAATTGAAAAAGACATGCACTGAAAGTCATGCCTCCCAGTGTTGCTAATGTGTGCTCCCAACCCTCTTCCGGAAGATGCAGGACCGCGCCTTCGTGAAGTTGGGCTCTGGAGAAAAAGGGGCCATGGCTCTCTCAGGGTGCAAGGGATATGTGCTGGTGATTACTTACACAGTGGCCATCCTGTATGATAGTCAAGCCACACTTGCACTCACAAATAAAGATTGATAATCTGCACATTTGGGTTGTTTTGCAGGCAACTCTCAGACAAAGGATCATTTGCCTGTTTGTTCTGTTGGTGACCAACAAAACCCCGCGACCCATATGGCCATGCAGCCATCGACTGCTTCTTGATCCACAGCGAGGGAGTGGTAGATCTTGAACTGGCCTGAAAGTGCAGCTGGCATGGGGCAATGACTCTTTAGATAATCTCCCATGGTTGATTTATAGGTTCTTGATGGAAAACCCGGTTTTTGAGACGGTTCTTGACAATAACCAGGTTCTTGATAAGGAACCTACATTTTTATAGGTTCTTGGTTCGCTAGGTAAACATGCCCACGCATTCACTATCATTCACTTGTCTGATAACGGAGCCTTGCAGGGTGTGTTTCTTCATGCATGCTGATGCTCAAGGCTCCTGTAAAAGCAATGGAGGGACTTGTTTGTGAGTCGAAGAGTCAACAAGTGAGAGATGGCCGTGGGTCACGGCACCAGGATACCTTGATATACCTTGGTTGATCTATCTGGGGGTCAAGCTACATGGTGGACCAGGGCTCCAGGTTTTGACCCATCCCCAGAATCAACCCTCTCCTCTGCAGCCGTCTCCTGCGGAGCAAGCTCAACAAAGGCCCAAAAAAGCAGCAACATCGCAATCCGCTGGTGTCGCTGGCTAGCTGGGTTGAGATCAACTCAGTGGGATTTACCCTAATTGATTTTAGGAGTCCAATCCCGAACGGATAGTCCCAACACAGCCTGTTGGAGGGTCCGGGCACATGCAATATTTGTGTTCAGTAGCATTTGTTGCCACCTGGAAGAAAACAACAAATATCAAACATCTTGGGATGCCTTTGGAACCTGGTACAGTCACAAATGATCGACCGAATCAAAAGAGCGCCGTGGCTGATGACGGCAGCAAAAAAGACCTGGGTTCATGATTATTTTGCATGAACTTATGCACCTTTCTGCATGCCTCACGCACTTTCCTGCATTTTGCCAATTATGTACAGTATTTATAAAGCCTCATTGGGTGGGAACTGGTGGGAACTCCCACACAGCAGCTCAGCAAATGACTGGATCCCATCGATCTTTGTCGAAACTCGGATGTCCGAATCAGTTTAGCCACGCAGCGGGGCAGGACACATCAAATTGAATTCAACCAAACCTCTTACACCTCTTGACACAGATGGGCCCACTCCTTTCAGTTCTGCTAGGTTTTTCTTTAAAATTTGTTGGCACAATGTCAGCAGAGTAGTACGGTACCTGTACAGTGTTTTCAAAGGTTCGACGGCACTGGCACCCGAAGATGTCCTAGACAAATGGGGTTCGATATAAACCACCTCACTTGAGGGCCCAGGCACGTCTTGCCATAGCAGGACCCTCCGGTTCTGAGCCTTCCGTCTGGGGCCCTCCATCACTTCGTCTCGTCTCGTCTCCTCGGAGCTGCGCATGCCCCACTCGGGCTCGCTGAAGTACGCCTCCCCTGATCCCCCGCGCTCGCCCCGCATCGGCGCGGAAGCACTGCTGCGAGGCGCCACTGCCTGGGGCAGTCGAACGGTGGCTTGGTCCAGGTGTCCGGGTTGTCCGGGTGGTGCTGGTTGAAGTCAAGAGTCCTTTCATTTCACCTGGACAGCCTTCAAACGGATGCAGTTGGATGAAAACAAGTCCATCGTTTTGGTGAGGTGCCAGGTGCCTTCGCGAGGCCCAAGTCCACTCTCTCGGTGATGGGTCCACTACGATAAAGAATATCAAGCCATATATCAAACCCAAACACTCCATGTATGCCATATATGCCTACATTGGGGTGGTTTGGGGGGTCAATGTAGGCATATATGGCATACATGGAGTGTCTGGGAAATATACCTGGCACATCCTGGCATCTGAGTGACCTCTATTGGTCGGACCAACCACTCCGAAAGCTGCGGTCGTTTCCTATCAAGACACCGGTCGTTGAGGTCCAGACGACGGTGAAACTGGTCACGGAGTCGTCTTGCTTCCGACTCCATGGGTCGTCGTCCGGTCCATTGCAACGATGATGATGGATCCAATATTATATACCAGGACCCTCCTGTCGGGGTGCCCTGTCTGGAAGCCTAGGCCGGTAGTGTGGGGTAGTCCAGCCAGCACACCCCGAGGGTCGGAGGGTCCAGGTATATATACCCTTAACACTCCATGGGACTGCCATATACTACATTGACCCCCAAAACCACCCCAACTGATCGGCTTATATGGCAGTCCCATGGAGCGTCTGGGATATCATCATGGGCCAACGTGGATGGCCCTGAGTTCGGAGGACCATTCTCCTCTACAAACAGGTGATGTTCACTCCACTTTCTATGATTATTACCCTATAAGAATCAAGGACCCTCAAAGGTGAAGGTTTTGAGGGTCCAAACCCCTGCTATGCAGGGTCCAAACCCTCCATAGGAGGGTCCAATGATGCTTAGGGTATGATTATTTCAGGGAGTCCATGTCCAGAACTCCTCCCACCTGCGCGATCTCGCCATGAGCACCCAATGGGTGGCCCGCACGAAAGGCCTCCATCGGGAGCTTCGGTCGGCGAGCGCTTGAACACCCACTGGCAATTGGTCCCATCCAAAAAAAGTGGGCATTGGCATTGTAGCTGCTTTCGAGCTACACAAGGCATTGCAAGGGTTCAACTACATAATTAAATGGACACTAAAATAATAAGCACTCTAGCTAGTCTAATACAGGACATGGCCTCAGTGTTCTGATGCAAATTCAACAAGTCAATTGTGAAAAGAACACTGAGCTGGAGCGATGAGCTGGCCAGTGTGTGCCTGAAGAACTAGAATGAGCGGTCCTTTCATGGTGGCAGTGAACGAACCTAGAATGGAATACGACCACTCTCCCATGTAGATACAGTGCCTAGGAAAACAATCAAGAGAAAACAAACAAAAAGGTTTCAGCTGAGCTACGCCTGAAAACGCCTCACCATGTAAGGCCCAAAAAGGTGATAATCATCTGAAACAAGCTAGACCTCACACACCAGCTGGTGTCACACTCATGAGCTGTTCGAGCTGTTGATAGCTGTTGTAAGGCCACAATCCCAAAGAACGGGCTGCTCACTGCCCCAGACCACGCAAAACCAAGGTACACATTTTGTAGAGCTATGATAACAGGACAATCTATTGGGGAAAGGCGATGCTCAGTCAGTGCTAGCTGCTAGCTTTCCAGCAAGGGCAGGTTGGCTAAGACTACAAACTGATGTTAAGCCAAGCAACTTCGACGGCATTGACCAATTGAACCAAAGAAAAAACGTCTTAAAGGAGAGAGCCTAGCAGGCAAGAAGGTGTTCCTCTAGAACAACTCCATGATCATGGCTTCGCATGGCTTTGCGCCCTCGAACTCCTGCTGCTCGGCCTGGTAGTCATGGCGGTAGGCCTCGGGGCGTCACAACTGCTCGATGTCTCGAGCCGTCAGTTAAAGCACAGCACCCCACCCCAACGGAGGTCTCCTGGACAGGACAGCCATGCTTCTCACTAAAGGCCCTCCATTCAGGGTCACCGGGATCTGAGGATCTGTGTCAATTCGGTGATTTCAGGGATCAGCTAGTGTCGGTTCTCCAAATCGTCCCATTCCCAAATTCAGTGACTTCAACCTTTTCAATATCTTTCTTGGATCCGGCCATGATCTGGCTATCCTTTCAGCTCAACTTGGTAGTATAGTCATCCCCGTCCCTTCCCATCCATCCATCCTCCAATCCCATCGTCCCCCACCGGTTTCCTCCCGCGGTTTTCGCCTGCAGCTCCTGCGGCTCCAACGAGCTCGGCAGAAACTCCAGCGGCGGCCCCAGCGAGGCGGGCGTCGCCGGGGTGGTCGCCGGCGTGGTCGCCGCCGCGACCGGTTGGTCGTTTTTCGGCGAGGCCATTGGGGTTCGCCAGAGAGCCGCGCGCGTGGAAAATCACCAGGTTCTAAGCCTCAAAAGACCGCTGATCATGGCAAGAACATGCAAGAACCAAGCAACATACTAGCATACCACGTATATATATATATATAACTAATAATATACCACCCGCAAACGAGGGCTAATGTTCATATAGCAGGGTTTGGGGCACCTTTTTTAGGCTCAGAGGTGTCCATAAAAAAATAATATCTCTCCATGGGTCCTGGTATAAACGAAGTGCTGAAGTGCTGAATGGATCTTAATGGAGGATCGCGGTGCCCAGAACGTCCTGGGGGACTCAAAACCATGACAATTCATTATGTCATTGTATTGCAAACATACCTTTAAAATAGAATTAAACACATTTAACATACACTCTTCACCTCTCCACAAGAAGTTGGATCTATAGCTGGACCAAGTCCCATGATATGCAAAGCCTACTTCTCTTCGACAATGGATGTTAACAGGACGATGCTGAAGCTTTAAGATTCCCCCACCACCTCAAACAGCAATCATCTGCTGGGGGCCAGAACTGTGCCATCTTTGTCCCCCCTCCAAGCCCGTCTCCGGGACATGCCCGCATCTGGAGCCAGAACGGCGCTGCCGAGCCACTCGCCCAGAAGGCACTTCTTGGGGCAAAACGGGAGTGTTTGTTCCCCAAATATGGACCAAAAGAGGTTGAACAGCCCTATAGATCCCATAGCCCATCCCATATGTACCACCAACAAACCAGGGTCCGAACGTTCAGGTCTTTCAACCGTCTGGGTGGACGTATTCGGATACCCCAAGGGTTTCTGGATCATCTGAGGTCCAATGGTCGATCTGGGGTCCAATGGTCGATCTGGGGTCCAATGGTCGACACACCGTCCATCAAAGCGACCCGATCCTGGTGTCGATATCAATGACCAGTGGCGTGCACGCACCCTTCCTTTACAGTTGGTATGTTCTCCAAACAAATGATCGGAAGCATCCAATGATGCAAAGAACGCCATAAAATCTGTTCAATCAAATTTGAAACATCTGTGGTTTCTTCATGTTTCTTCTATTTTGCTAAAGCCCTTTTTGAAAGGAAACAACTTGTCTTAGAAGTCTCCACCCCAGTTGAGCATGGCCCCGACCCCCCCGCCAACCCAACCCGGTCTCTGCAAGTGGGCCGGCGGGACGCGTTGTTGCGCCAACACCTCGAGTATTTCGAGCTGGTGAGGGGAGCCCATCTGAAGTAAAGCACCGAGAGAAAGAACAACAAGACAACAATTCGTCAACTGCATCTGATTCATTGTTGAGTACACATATTGAACATTTTGTACCAAGGTATGGTCGAAAAGGTGACTTGTGAGAGTTTTCAGGTGATGTATCGTGATTCTCAACCATCTTGACCCGACTCTAGATGATCTAAACATACCAGGACACCCTAAGCGGTGTCTATTGATAGCCCCTTAGAGGTGATGCAGGGTGTCCATGTCTACCACCCCGACCGTGGGTCCTAGTTATTATGGGTACATCCCATTCCTTGGGCCTGGTGGGTGTTGGTGAGTTGCAGGCCGACATCGGCGGTTGTACGTTGCCCCGCCACGTGACTGGGTCGGATTTAGTGTCGTGCTGGACGACAGCGTTCGTTGAGGCCAAGGGGTGGACGTCTGAGGATGTGACACAAAATCCCGATGTCACTCTGGAGGACCATAACCCAAGTCCATACCCCCCGAGGTGTTTCAATTGGAGGGGGTGTATTAATCAAGAGTCTACATGACCAAATACCTACCATCTTTGCATTGGGAGGGTTTTGCTCACAGTCTTATTAGCCATTGAGTTCTACAAGCCCCTGCTTGCTCTTCGCTCCACAAGCGCCACTGCGCAAGTCTAGTCTGCAAACCGGATTCTCCCGTCCCAGCAGCTCAAAAGGGCTGGAGAAGTCTAGCTCAAAAGGCTGAAGGAATCAACGATGGAAGGCAGGCCTTGAGCGCCTTGAACACCATCCCTGGACCATCTCTTAACGCCTCTAACTCGCCACCGAAACCGGCGGACACCGGATGTTCTCTCTTCACCACCGGCGACCGAAACGGCGGTTGAAAACCGAGCGATCGAGAGAGAGAGCGGCGCCTCCAGCGCCGCTTGGATCTGACTTCGATAAGAGCTCACCTCTTGTCGAACCTGGCGCGGTCCAGTCCTTCGGTGCCACACCCGGCGTGGGAGACACATCGGTGACGCAGCGAATAGCGTCTTCGGATGAAGGAGTGAAGGCAGATGTGACGTGACAGCAAGGAGACATGGGTTCAACACTGTGTTCAACATATCTACCACCATCTACTCTACCACCATGATCCACATAATTCCTTTTAGATCCCTATGTTGGGAGGTGTAAACATCCATCGTCATCACAACCCGCACCCTGTGACTGGTCTTCCAGTCTGCCCGCGCCTGCATATGTCTGTTGATCTCCTCCGCCATCTGTCGGCACCTAAGCCCCGGCATAACAGCGACCGACATCAGGGGACCTGTCCGACAGGACGGGGACCAGTGGTAAGGACGCCGTAGATCCGTAGATCCTGCCAAGCTAACCTGACCGTCAGTTCAATGGCGCCATCTTCAAGAAAGGTTATATTCGGTTATATGCTCCATGGGACTGCTATGCCGATCAGTTGGAGTGGTGCCAGGGGGGTGAATGGGGCGGCAGTCCTATGGCAGTTCCATTAGTCGTGTCTGGGAATTGGTCTTCCTAATTAGCGACTTGCAGGACTCCCCGCTTTGGTCCCACACCCCGCATGGATCCGAACAATCCACATCCAAACGACAGCGCCCACGCAAAAGCTTTTCCAGTCACCCGTCGGCTTCCAAAAGCACTGCGTCTGAATTTCGATGCCTAGCTGAACCGTCCGGAGCTCGATCAACTATCTGCGTCAGTCTCATTTCCTATAACCTGTCTGGGACTGCCATAGGACTGCCGCCCGCCCCATTCACCGGCACCAGCCCTGGCCGTTTTGAAGGCAGTCCGGACTGGCAGTCCCAGACAGGTCGTGTCTGGGTATAGGAAATAATGAGACTACGACCTCTGAGGCCCCCCCGAGCTCCGTTCGCCTCCTCCCCTCCTCCCTTCGCGCGCACTTCGCGTCTCCGGGTGGCGTTCCGTCGCTATCGTCCAGATCCCGGGACCAATCGCCGTTGGCTCTCGCCTGAGGTCAGGAAGGTCGCCAGGTGGCCAGCGACTCTGTTGGGAGAAAGAACCAATTCCCAAACACTCCATGAAACTGGCACATGTGGCACATGTACATATACATTGACCCCCCCTGGCACCACCCCAATTTAGGCATACATGGCATACATGGAGTGTCTGGGAAATGTTTGACCAGCCTTTGACCAGCTCGGCATTTGGGTGGAGATCTGAGTATACGGTCACGAAGCGACGAAGCGTCTTTCTATTTGGAGAAGGGTGGGTGTCTTAGAGTCTATAGTAAACATCGGTGTATGCGCACCATGCCGGATGGCTGGTAAGGGGAAGCGTGCTGCGAAGCTTCTCAACTCAAACAACACCACACCACAAGGTCAAATCAACACTGAACACTCCTGAAACCACCGATCCAATCCCCAAGCCCTCTGTCAATGAAAGGCTCATTGACCCTCAACCTCATGAGGACTACACATCTTACGAGCATATACTACCGACCCCCATTGGTAAATGCGCCCATCCACAAAACCATCCCGGGGCGGGGTCCACCCAGGTTCATCGCGCCTTAACCGCACTCCGAACACGGCGTTCCGAACGGCGCACGGCCGGCCGGGCACCTCCAAGGTGGCGCGCTTCTCCGAGACGCTGCGCTGCATCTCTTCCATCCTCCGCGCGGAGGCACCGGCGCGGCTGCTCGCGCGGGTGGGTGACCCTCTGAGGGCCGTGGTTGGGCCATTCCGACCGCTTCACCCCTGGCCCCGCGGTGGAAGAACAGTGTTACAACGCGGAACGCGCTCGTTCACCAGCGCGATCCGTCAACAGGCGCTGATGAGCAAGTTGGATGAATGATTATATTATATATGGTATGTTCAACATATATCAACAAATATACTCCCTGGAACTAACCTGGAAATGGAAAGTCACCTGGAAATCCCCTGTTTGGTCTTCGGAACATGCTCTTCCAAGGGTGATATGTCGCCTATCGTCCTCCACTTCCAGGTGTATCGCCAAACTCGCCGAGGGACCGTCGCCAGGTCTTGTCCAAAGCACTCTTCACGGCTTGGGTCCTCAGTTGGAAAACAAGAAACTTGATGTATGAGGGTACAATCCCCTTTGATATTAGCACAGAGGGGTCGTTCCACCCATTCTCTCGAGAATCATCTAGAAAATGAGGGGGCCTGACATCTGGTGTGAGATGTGTGGGGGTACCTAGGAAGAGGGTGTCAGGAAGAGAGTGCCATAGGTTTGCCCTTTGTTTGGATAGACCTGTTCGTCACATCATGATTAATGGCTGCGGCTACAGCATGCTACAGCTTTGAAACGATGTTGTTTTCTTCCATCCATGAAGGCTTGGGGGGATGCTGGACCACTCAATCAGCCATCTCCAATCACCAATGATGCCCGACCTTGGAAAATAGAGTGGTCGGTACCAGGTTCCCTCATACTACCCTTCTCTTGCACCGTTCAAGGTCCACATCCATCCCTCTATCCCTATGGATCTGCCACCGTACCTCAGAAGGTATGACGGGACCCAACAATGGCGCCTACATGAATAGTCTCCCCGCTCACCGTACCGACCTGGTTCGGTATGTGGATCCATATGGTATATGAAAAAAACATCACCCAACTCCATCAACATCCCTTCAAAAGGCCGTGCAAATGGCTCCAGCTCCACCGCCGGTTTTGAGGCTCCACGCTGTTGCTCTTTGGCCACCTTAGGAGCAAAGGGGCTGAAGGTGAACAACACCGAGGTTGCACACCCTCAGCAGGGAGGGACCTTTTTCATAAGCAAATACGGCCACCAAAGGTTCGATGGCACGTACAAACCCCATGTCCTGGACAGATGGGGGTCCATATGTTCACCGACCGACTGGGGTGCCAGTGCCATCTACTCTCACTGTAATAGGTATGGTTTACAAGAAGGTACCTTCTAAAGCAATAGAACATACCGTCCGTACTTTTTTTAAAGGTGACTGCATGATACTGCATGTGACATATAAGGTGACTTTCGGGCCCTTTTCCTTGAATGTTTGACGTCATGATCCTAGATGGGACCCAGCCTTTTTACAGTATATACTGAACGTCTTGCTCAAATGTTCAGGTGCCTTTGGATCTGTGGCAGGTCAACCCATCGAGTCGACCCATCGAATCGACCGTGAGGTCATTTCGATCGATGCATCTTACCGACTTTGCGGGGGGCGACCAGATCGGTCGTTTGACCAGGAGTCACAAAGCCCTAACCTCCATGGATAGCACTCCGTCTTGTGACTGCTGGGAGACCTGTTTTGTTGAGTTTCACTCAAGGTCATGTTGTATCTTCCCCATATGGGTAAAATCCTCTTCTGGGGGAAGGTGTTTCCCGGCTCCTGGACGTCTAAGTTGTGGTTGGATCATGTTGGATCCACAGTGATCGCGCCCTTGGAGTAAGCTATAAGTTAGCCCTGCAGCACAATCGCACCTGACCCAGCCGGGGGACCAAGCGAGATGATTTCCAGTGCAGAACCCTAGGAACCGGAGAAGTACACTCCGAGGAAGACGAACATGGAAGTGGAAAGCCACCATGTGTGTGTACATGTGCAGGTGGCCGAGCTTGTGATGACCAATAAAAGAAGTAACACCTGGGCCCCTATTGCACACCTGCACTCCGATTCCTATTCGTTTTTTCGAGTGGAAACTCATAGCCGTGCAAGCCACTTCCACGTGAGTCGGGTCAATAACATGTGCCTGTGCCACTGAGTGTCCCTTCGCCACATTTCGCCACATGGTTCACCCCCCTTTGACACTCCTTACTCAGCTTCATACGACCTTCTGATGGAGCTCATACTCCTTCCCGGGCTCCGCATGCTCCGCACGGCCCGAAACAGCTTGGAGGGAGCGGGGCACTCACAGGATTACAAGAACTTCTTGAAGTACCTGAAATACCTGAAGCCTCTGTAGCGGGACAAGAACACCAGTGCTGGCCTTCAAAAAAAACACTAATTTAAGGTGACCTAGGTCACACGTGGTGACCTACTCTGACATACTCAAGCCCTTTTCAAATCCGGTCATTGAACCAACCACCAGGTGACCCACTCAAACTTCTGAACTCCACTACAGGTTTCATGTGACTTGAGGGTCTCGGCAACAGCGGCCGTTCCGGAACCGGCTCCGATGGGGCCATCGTCGTAGCTCCTCAGGTTCGGTATGACTGGACCCGACAATGGCACCCACCCCAGTCCCACCTTCTCAGGTTCGGTATGACTGCAGCCCTTTAGGGATGGTTATCCATGTTCTCCTCTTGCTTGCACGCTTCCAAGTGCCGCCGTCTCGACTTCCTCCGTGGCGGCGCATTGCGGCTGGGCGGCGCATTGCAGCTTTGAGGAGAACTGCCAACGCATCCAAACCAACGAGCGCCTCCAAGTGAAGGTTGAACATAGAAATATCCGAAACCACCACCCTAGTCACGATGATGGCACAAGATTGCGCAAGAAGTAGCCCACAGCCCACCCTCCTGGCAAAACTGGTCCGTGCATTGAATAAGCAATTCCATTTGCCCTTGTCGTTCTTCAATGGCTGGAGAATCTACCAGGTTGAAAACAACACTAGATGTACCAATCCTCCAAAGACTGTAGATCGAAATAGAACTTCCCCATTCTTGGACACCATGTCCGTACATCCTCTTCTTCCTGAACAAAGAACTAATGCCAAGGTTCACCCCCATACCCAGTGCTTTTCTCACCTCTGGCAAAGCTGCCAAATGCTCCACTGACTCCACCAGTTTCCCTGGAAAATACAGTAAAGGTTGCAATAACCTTTTTCTATATACCTGTTCTTGCGCAGTGGGGGCACCACTCCCCAAAACAACGGTTAATGAAAGGTTATCCACTGACTGGCACTGGGTATCAAAGACAAACGTGTCGAACTTCCGTCCGGGACGATGGGTCCCCAACGGATCCTTTTCAATACCCAGACGCGACCTGTCTGGGACTCCCAGTCCGGACTGCCTTCAAAACGGCCAGGGATGGTGGGGTGCCAGGGGGGGGGGGGTCGACCTCTGGGGCGGCAGTCCGTCCTGGCAGTCCCTTGGAGTTTTTTGGGATATATGACACCGCAAGATCCAGGGTTCGCATTGTTCCACCAGGTAGTTAAGGGCTTCTCCATGGTTCGCCCAGTGACTGTGTCAGCCCTCTGGCAGCTCTGAGCTCCAGGCCACGCAGATTTGGCTTCCTGCCAGGCTCTGCGGTCGCTTGCGCTGGGCGCCCAAAGAATTGGAGACAGAAGACACAGGAGACGACTGGAGACACAGACATGTCCAACAGGTCTCATTTCCGGAGATGGTCCCTGGGAAGGAGACATGATGGGTTATCCCTTAATGTATTCTTTAAAAGATCTCTGGATGGTAAAATGGACAACATCCGACAAGCATCTCCACCCAAGTTGCTTCTTGCAATCAAGAGATCTAGTTGGGGCCAGTTACTAGTTGGGGGCGATACCTATGTTGTTTGGCTTTGGATCTTTTTGTTTTTGGTTTCGTTGGATCCCTCACCCGTTGGGAATCTAATGCCACTCACCCCTCAGTGAACCCGCGGTCGACTCCCACCGCTCCGCAGGACGAAGCAGAGTCCTCCACTTGCCGCTGCAGATGTTGCACCAGCAAGTCATACCTCAAAAGCAAAGGAGGCCTGACACCTGGGTCAATTTTCCCATCGTTGACCCAGGTGTGGATTGACCCAGGTGTCGCCTCCTCACAAGATGGGTCTATTCCCACATCGTGGAATTTGTTCCCCATCTTGTGTGTCGCTGGTCTTCTACCTGAGAAGAAGAACGAGACCATGGTTTCCTGATCACCGGTGTGTCTCATGGGACTTCCACGGTGTCGATCGCCCCACATCGCCCGGTCCGATTTCAGGTCGACACGATCGTGGAGGAGCTGGAGATTCCAATGCATCTGGTGTCGCTCTCGTTGGCATACCGTTTTCAACGTGCATCATGTAGACTCTTGAGGACCATAAACCCCCCATATGAAGAGCATGTCCAATTCAAATGCGTCATTGTATCAAGAGTTTACATTACCAGGAGTGTCCAGAAAACTCAACTCTCTGGACAAGACTGAAAGCCATTTCGAAAGCCATTTCGGTGTGTGGGTGAAAGTTTCCCCAAACATCCACCTCAGTTATCCCACTTTTGCCACACTTGGGGTTTGGAAGGGCAGCATATGTTGCATCCGCCTTCGTTCTTCTTTTGGACCATTTGTCCCAAACGCCACTGATGCCAACATGGTCTCTCTACATCCTTGTCCACTTCCTCCTTCATTCTAGGCATTCCATGTGCCTTCCTTCCATGTTCATCCACTTTCCACCTGCTCCACCTACCAGCATTCAGCCCTCCCGTGCCCGAGCTCCGTACTGGCGGGAGTGGAGCTGTTGCAGCCGTTGGATCTCATCCTCGCTTCGTTCCACCTGTGGGGAGAAACGAAGCCGCACGGTGAGGATTGGGGTGAGGCCATTGGAAGGAGTTTGGATCCATGTTATTACATCACTTACTCCAGAGTAATGGATCTTGGATGATCTTGGGGATTACCCCAGTGATCCATATTACCCCAGTGATTGGAAGGAGTTTGCCATTACTCTTGGAAATATATACGTTGGGGGATCTTTAGGGGACATATACGGACTGTACGATGGCCATTGCAGCAATAACTAGCAATCATCTCCATGCAAAAGCTTGGAGCTGTCGAGAACACAACAGCCACAGAATATGTTTGGTAATTAGCTTGCATCCAAATTATCCATGTCCGATGGAGCTTCCTGTGGGGTTCTTTACAGCTCCTGCAGTCCAATCGGTCATTCTTTTTAGCGCTGGCTGGTGTCCTCTTAGTGCCAGCGCTGGTGCTGTTGGGATAGTCATTTGCTCATCTCAAAGAACTGCAAAACAAGGAGCCAAATCTGCTTCTGCTGTCAACAAGGTCGATATATGTGTTTTGTTCTGCACGTCCAAAAGCTGCATGTATTCACAGAGTGTGGTCTCTTAAAGCTATGAATCGCGGTCACTCAACTTAGTTCTTCAAGCCGTGATCTTTTTGAACACCATTACATTCTTCCAGGAGTCACAAGACGGGGCGGTGTTTAGTTCCCAAGTGAGTGGATGTGACAGGGGCACCCCTAACTTCCATGGATAGCACCCCGTCGAAGGTGACTGGAGGTTCACGTGCGCCCTGAATGCCAAACCGCTTCGCTTCGCTTTGGCACGTCGATCGAGCAGATCTCGCTCGTTCTTTCAGCACCTCTTCGTCTTGAAGTTGCTGCAGCTTCACAGCTTCGGTGCGGCTTGAAAACAGCGCTTCGCGCTTTTCTCATGGGGATGACCCAGGCGAAAATAGTAATGACCTTCGTTCCATGGCTGTGCCTTCCTGATATTGAAGAACAACACTTAAAGGAGCAAGGCCCAACCTAAATAATTGTTGGGGAATTCATGTGACCACCGTGGAGGGCCTGCTCATGTTTCTGGCCTAGGCAGGTGGGAAGACCATTGTGCTTGCAATTTTTAGGGCCTGGACCTCCGCGGTGTCTTGGAAAAAGGGCATTTCCAGATTCTGACCCATCTGTGATCTGTTGTGATCTGATTTGATTCTTCGACATCTGATCACCTTTGGATTTCGGGGGTGGCAACTACACAGCAATTCTGGCCCTACCTGTGGGTAAGGAATTTGGCGACTCTTTCTGTGTCCGGCAACGTCTTGGATCATCCCCATTGGGTCGTTTTCGGGAAAAAAAGGCTTCAAACGGGGTCCTCGCCTTCCTTCTCTGCTGCCACACAGCCATCCTAAATCCAGCGAGGAAAGGATGGGAGGCACTTAGGAGGCATCTGCCTGCCTCAGAAAAAAGGGGGTTCCTACTCCAAAAACACATCCATGTATGCTGTCCATCAGGCAAGTTTGTTGCACATTGAGAATGGAGCCTGGAAGCCTGAAGAGTCTAAAAATCTGTTCAGTGGCAGTTGAGGTGGCAAAATGGGAGACACAGTGAGAGACACGTTGTCTATCTGTGTCCACAAGAAAATAACTATATACGTACAGTATATAATATGTAACTGTATAGCAATAGAAACCACAAATAATAATAACGTTGAACCTTTCAATGTTGATATCAATGCTACTTCTATTCATCTCTTTGAGAACAGCACTTGTTGCATGCCATCATGTATGTAGTAACATACACATTTCTGCCGCACAGGCAACCTGGGATCATCCTTTCCGCTCTGAACAAAGCCTGGAGCCGAGCATCTTGTTGGTGTTCCAAACAGGTAGGCTCCGCAGTGCTTTCCAGGCAAGGTTGCGTTGGGCGGTTGCTGGCCTCTTGTGAAGCATGCACGTGGGTGCACCAGCCTGGGCCCTTTCTAAAATACATGCACACTTAAACACCTATTGATTGATTATGCAAATTGACATGTGGGGTCCATTGTTTTCACCGTACTCACCGGACTTGGACTATCTCATGGAACAGAACTAGACTGCGCACACATGGCAAGGATCGACCGGTGTGCAGCAGTACAACAGCAAAAACCGATGTGACACCCATCGAAGACATATGAAGAAATGCTGTCCATTTGCGGTTGGGCATCTCTGACAGGACAACATGGCTGCGGGTCATGGATCACAAACTAATGTGAAACCAGTGCAGCAAGGGATGATGTGCTGATCGTTTGTTGTTCCAGGGCCCCGCTGAAACAGGAATGTAGCGTGTTCCAGACCAACTCGGGCCACAATAGTTCCCAAACTTGTTCAGGAATCTCGGCACCGCCTCTGACAACAGAAGCCACAAAATGCTGCTGCGACAGAAGCCACGACGACAGCTTGGGGAAAGCTTTAAAGTGCACGGTGCGGAATTTAAGTCCATAGACACTCCATGTATGCCATATATGCCTACATTGACCCCCAAAACCACCCCAATAGGCTATATGGCCCACATGGAGTGTGTGGGATAATAGTCTATTAGTCCATAATGGTCCGGAAGTGCGGATAGAGAGTATGACTTAGCAAAAAGTCTTCAGTATGACTTCGCCAAAAACGGAACCATTTGCATCCAATTGATCTAAAGTCTTCCACCCCAACCCTCCACCCCTCGCGTGTTCTCCCACCCACCCACCCACCCAACACTGCGCCGTCTCACCTCGCCTCCTTTTCCTTCAGCGCCGTCTCCTCGGAGATTGCCAAGGCACGTTGCGACTCCTAAAGGCGCAGCTCGCGGCAGGTTGGTGATGACTTAGACCCGAGTAGACCGGCACGTGTCCCCAAGACCATCGAAATGGAGGAGCCCGGCAGGGAGGAACACGCGAAAAACACACAGCGGGAGCTTGGAACTGAAGGACCAGAACTTAGGACCAGAAGCGAGCCGGGTCCTGCCCAAGAGTTATGAGATTTTGAAATGATTTGTTGATAATTTATTAAAGGAGCCCCGATGGGGATTTCTCTATACCCTCCTTTCAGCACATCGCCATCGAATGCGGAAATTCCGCTTTCGCTCTCCCTCTCCGGCCTTTGTGCGCTTGTCGACGTCGTGAGGCAGGACCTTGTGGGGGAAGGTGCGGCCATCTCCACTTGGTGGACAGGCCGGGAACAACCTCGGTGGACGCGTCGACTTCCGCGTGGTGGGACGCTCTGTGCGGCCACGGGAGTCCGACGGCCACGGGAGTCTGACGTGTGTTTCTCCGAAGTACGTGGCTTTCTGATGTTGCAACATGTGACCGATCTTGTTGAGGATCCGAATGCCTATTAGGGTCACCTTCCAACTCTGATTGCCTACGACTAACTCATCAATTTCAAGGGCGAAAGGCCTTTCCGGCACAGCCTCTCTCTCTCCACATCTGTCCACACCTTCAAAGGGCACCGCATGGCCATGCCTGGCGCCTTTCAATTCTCCGACACCGAGCGGTTGAGCGACGCCTCCGACCCGTCTGGGGCTGCCAGGACGGACTGCCGCCCCAGAGGCCGACCCCCCCTGGCACCACCACCCCGGGAAAGGCTGTTTTGAAGGCAGTCCAGCCCCAGCTCGGTCGTGTCGGCAGCTTCCATCAACCCGAGGCCCAACAAGTATGCCAAGAGGCCAAAAGAGCGGAATGCTCCCGAGGGCTGCTTGCAAATTACCACACCTCAGGTCCACCGTGGAGTGGTCGAGATCGACGGACCGTGGATTGGTCCTTGGACGTGTCAACATGTCGGTGTTTTGAGGCTTAGTCTGGCTTAGGCTTAGTCTGGTGGCAGTGTTTTATGATGTTTTAGAGTGGTTTGTCATGATTTGAGAATCGATGGCACAATCCCGCCAGTTCGGTTTGTATGGATCCCCATCTGTCACATCTTCGGGTGCCATCGAACCTCTGAAACCACTGTGTTACATGTCTTTCAGACTTAAGCCCTCGATATCCCCATGTTGTTTAAGTGTAAGGCATGTTTTTGTTGCGTCCTGGAGGAAAGTGATGCTTCTAGTGGAGGATGCTGTCCTATGATGTCCTGTGCAAACCAAAGTTGTCCAGGAGTCAGCCAAGTGTGTCCCGCACAGGGACCCGCTTCACTCGAAACCATGCTGCGCCCGTGCCCGTGCGGTCGACCAGCTGAACGGTGCTTCCAAGTGACAGGCCTTGGTCGAAACTGACCTTCTTCTCATATTTTTCCTTTTTTTTCGTTCCTGCAAAGTCCCCAAGCTTCAAGCTGCGGTCCCCAAGCTTGTATAAAGTCTACGAATTGTGTAGAAAAACAGTTCATGTTCACCTTCTATTGCCTTGCTTGTTGTGAAGAGTGTAGGTTTGATTTAAGTTCGACTATCTTGAATCTTGAGGTCAGTGCTCCTAGTCAAGAAGAGTGTCAAGAAGCTGGTTTGCATCTACTCAACATCTGGACTTCCCCACGTCTCCGGTCTACCCGTCTCCCGAAGTCGCCCGGTCGGTTTTCCGCTTGAAAACGGCCCATGAGGCCTGGTGAGGAATTCGATGGTGGTCATTCCAATGGCACACAAGTAGAGGTGGAAGGCTGCGAAGGCCGTCATCGTGCCAGCTAAGGCTATGACCAAGGCTTCCTCACCAAGGCTGCCGCTGTGAGGAGATGGATAGGCTGTGAGGAGATGGATGGGCCTGGGGAGAATGATCCGCTGGGTTGGTCTTGGTGTACTATGTTGATGAATGTCTTGTCTAGCTTCCTGGAAGGAACCACCTTTCTTGATGCATCGAGCTAAGCAGGTTGGAAGGCTCCCTGATTTGGACATGGAGGATTGTTGGGTCAAGAACTGTTGCACGGGCGACTGGACACTCGCCGCTGCGTTGCAGCTCACCTATGCAAGACTTGCCTAAGGATTCCTCACTGTGGATGTCACGAAAGCAACATGAACCGAGTCAACCTCCCATTGAGATGAGGTTTCGACCCACAGCCACACATATAATAGATCGCAAAGAAGGCCTCTGAGCAACCTACCTAGAGAAATCCCCTTGTTCCCCTAGACCTCCTATAGATTTATGTAATAAGAAGGCCCCTTGTTCCAAATCCCTAGACCAACCTACTCCCCCCCTGTTCCACTTGTAGCCGCTGAGCTGCGGTGGAGACTAACCAAAGCTTGGTCCAAAAGGTGATCTCTCCATGGAAGGCCTGAAGACGAGGCCTTCCAGTCAGGCGCTGGAGGCTCAGAGTATTGGTGAACCTTCCAAAGGCTTCGGAAGGTGGAGAGTTTGTATATATGGGTGACAACCTGTAGGACTGCCTTGGAACAAGCAACCAAGTTGATATGACAACCTGGGTGACCACCCCGAAAACGATCCCCTGGGAACAGGCCACCAACGCAACCAAACTTAGACTAAAGCCGCTTGGTTGGCTATAATATATATATATATATATGTATATATATATATATTCTATCCATCTGGAGACCATTGGAGAGTCCCCCAAGAAGAGATCTGAAGTCGGAAGGTGCTCTCCAAGCGGTTGCAGCAAAATGTGCAGCTTGGCTGAGGGTGGGTCCCTTTCCGAGGCTCTTAGCCGGCACTTGGCATGGTGCACAGGGATGGAGGCTATACTACCCTCAAATGACATAGTTCCGCGGCTTGTGAGATGGGTGCTTGTGCTAAATGCTCCAGTGGAAATCAGAATTCTCCTGTGAAAACAGGGTTCGGTGCTGAATTCTGTGGATGGAACCGATTTCCCACTCGATTCTCCACGCGTCCTCGGTGGATGTGACAGGGTCCCAGGGTGGCCGTTTCACACACCGTGGTGCGGTCCAGACTTCTGTGTATCCTATTGACCTGGGCCCAGTGGATGACGGTTACTAAAGGCCTTGTTCGAAAATAGTGAGGTTCTTGTCCACTGACTGTTACAGGTAAGTTCGGACAGACCCACACATACCCACACCATATCATTCACCCAAATCCACACAAAAGGCTTCACAACTTCCTACATCTTCTCCCCAGTTCCCAAGCGTTTCCCAGAACTGACGAGACCAACCGCTCGTTCACTTGTTGAATTGAGGGTCACATGACCAAAAAAATAAAAACATGTGGAGACCATGCCGGGGACCCTGGTGCCATTCTAAGCCTATACAGGATTGAGAACCACAGTGTTCTCAAAACAATGAAAGGCCGGCCAGGGCTGCCTTTCCATGCAGGGCTACTGACTCCCTCAGTTCTGCTGACTCCCTCAGTTCTGCTGACTCCCTCAGTTCTGCTGACTCCCTTAGTTCTGCTGACTCCCTCAGTTTGGCCAGTTATGAAGGGGAAGCAGGTTTTAACCGTTAAAACGGTCGCAGGGGGGGTTCCACCCATCATCCACTGAAAGGGCCGGTGAACATCAGCTCACTTCAGCTCACCGCCCAAGTAAAGGTTGAACATCAAACACCACCCAGACCTTGTGATGCCGAAAACGGGTGGCGTGGAGCTTCGAGAATGTTTTCCCGCCACCAGCCATAGCTGGCTATAGCATCACACCTTTGAAGAAATGCTAAACATCTAAGTCGACAAGTGAAGGTTGTCTGCATGTCACCTCCAAGCGGCTCTGACAGTAAAAAGCATCAAAGTCACTGCCTTGAAGAGTAAAGCTACCTGCACCATGTCCGGGGCAAGTACCAGGGCCAGGGAGTCCGCTAGAAGATATACATGCATCCATCTTGAATGCTCAACAAAATTTCAGTCACCAAACAAATCAAACAAACTGACAGCAAGCAAACGCAAAATAATCTCCCCAATACACCCCTGCCCGCCGCGGAGTAGGTAATGAAGGCGACAAAGTATTTGTAATTCCCAAAGCCTCATCCGATTGCTCATGCGACGAATCAGCAAGCACGTGAATCATGGTCAACGTTCATAATTCCTTTCTAGCGACTTCATGCTGTGTGCCAAGGAGCCAAAACGAAGAACGGATAGAAGTTCAACCCAGGCTATACATGTATATACTATATATATATATCCCCATTCACTCTCCCATTCCCTGTACCAGTGGATGACAATGGTTAATGGCATTCTCAAAATATGTGATCATGTTCAACCCGATGGTGACTGGTTTATAGCTGTAGACATGAACACACCACAGTGACTGGTTGGCTATGGCGGCTATGACTGGTTTTGCCGATGGGTCCACCGATCCCCTCAGATCTCGTTCTCAGGGTCCATCTCCTGGGTCCAAACCCCACCTGACCTACACGGACCATGTGTATCCATGTGTGCCACAGACCTACACGTCACGCGCAGAGCCGAGCACCAATCAACTAGTTGACACAGTTGCTTCAATGATCCGAACTCCCACCTTGGAGCGAAAAAAACCGCCGCCAACCACCGAAACGGTGATCGCATCCGAAGCCACCCTGACGTGGTCACGTGCGCATCCGTCGCGGTCGGCGAGAAACCGATGCATTGCCGAAGCCAAGGGCAGTGGTGGTCCATGCGCAAGACGCAGGCGCCGCACTTGGTGCAATGCCGACACCGCTGAGGTTTCCTCGCTGGAGATCGATCTCAAGGCGCGGGAGAGGTGGGGGTAGATGGCATAGTCAAGTCATAGTATGTCATAGTTGTCTCACTCGATTTTATATGGTGAACAAATCTAGATGAACGACACTCACAACATCTCACAACCTATTTAATACGGCTCTATGCCACCCTCTCTTGAAACCTTTGCTAGGTCTGAAGGCCAACGAAAAAAACCCGTTGACAGGAACCGACATACAAAACTTGTGTCTGGTCTGGTCACCAGTTCCCAACAATCCGCTGTCAACAAAGCTTAAGCTTTACTATTCCATCCAACCCACTGAGGCGGGCCCAGTTCCCATTCGAATTTTCACAGAACCTGCGATGAGGTACTGCGATGACCTCGCATCAACCTGGTTGACCCGCATCCACCTTCAGGCACCCTTCGCAGATGTACCAGGTTGCTGGACCAATGTCCATTTTTGTTCAGGGTTTCAGTTTCAGAGGTTCGATGGCACTGGCACCAAAACAAATGTCCTAGACCAATGGGGGGTCCATATCAACCACTCCGTGGGAGAGCACCAGGCGTTTGGCCAACTCCCTCGACCGACAGCAACGTGACGCAGCAACGTGAGTCACGGCATTCGTCCCTGGAGGCTGAATGAGCCGGACCTAGACCGCCACCTTGCCCTCCAAGAGTCTGCGACTGGCAAAACACACCTGGGCCACAAGGGAGAACAAAGTGCAAACTTCACAACCGTGTGAGTATGGCCCAAGCTCACCCAAGTCTGGTAGCCTTTCCTATTTATTTTCCCTGTCATCACTATACAGTACAGTCAGTACAGTATGTAGGTCTTGGGAAAACCCTTCCCAAAATGGAGTTGCAAAAGAGTCTTAAACATCTTAGACTCATTCAAAAGACTTTGAAAGGACATCTGTGCTTTTGCTTATGTTTGGACCCTCAAGTGGGGGACCAAGCAGCAAAGGAATATGAAGCCATGTAGAACTTGCTGCATATAATGACCCGCGCAGGTACTCATATGTATACGATGGGTTTGGTGGACCAAACGGACTATTAGATCCTGGGCAGGTTGCTGGTAACAAAATTAAAGATGACATATTCGACCCCCACGAAGGCATATCGGTGAGGCACGGTTGCTTCTCGCCGGCCCTGGAGGGCGGAGGCTCCTCGCTACTGAAGAAACGGCCGGCAACCCCGAGCCGTTGTCTGCCTCCCAACATCTGCATCACCGGTGAAGCAAGGCACTGGCAAAACACATCGGACGCACACCTTCATGCTGTGAATATCCAGAACCGTGAAGCCACAAACCACTGTTTTTTGCATCCTCAAACACAAGAACTCCGGCCAGTTCGTCCGCCAAGCCGCAAAAGACCTGATTATTCGGCCGCGGCTTGGGGGAAAGCATTTCGGACTCAAAGTCCTTCGGTTTCCCAGGCCTGGCCGAACATGGAGCACGTCGGGCAGGCGGGTCGCACGTCGGTAGGTAGGAGACGGGGGAGCCATGTACGGTGTGAAGGAGGTGGGGAAGACTTGCTCTCAGGTCCTTCTGACTAGTTCACGAATCTTATCAAAAAGAATCCACAAAAAAGAACATCTGGGGGAATTCTGACTGGATTCGTCATGGGATCTTTGATGCAGGTTGCTGCTTTCTGGTATTCCCCACCTACTGTACCTACTGGCGTCCCAAGGCCCTGACTCTATCGCCCCTGCTTCTAGGACCAGCCTTCTTCGACCTATAGGACCCAACACCGGCCGCCCATGCGCCGAGGCGCAGGAGCCCACGACCGGTCCGGTCCGCCCGAACCGCGGCCTGGTGCATAGGACGCGGAGGAAGGACGAGAACCACAGCGTCACCAGGACCAAATAGGTCACCTGGACCATCACGGGCGCCGGAACGGGTCGGCGGGTCCGGAACGGGTCGTTTTCTCGGATGTCCGCGGAGTCAGGTCGGCGCCTGCAAGGGGAAGGGCAGATCCATTTCCACGGAGAGGTCCACGGAACCGATGAAGTGCGTGAGGTTGTAGACCACCACAATCCACCTCGACATATCGCACATGTTTGCATATATATATATGGATCGATCTTGCGTCTTCCTCTCCTTCGGCTGGAATATGAACTATCGATTTCTTGCTGCCATCTGCCTGTTACTCGGTCCATCTGAGTCCGTCCAGCTGCCCGACGAGAACGTGTGCGGGCATGGATGAGACGAGCGAATCCGTCCTCGCCCGAAGTCAGTGCATCCGAGACACAGTGTTGACAAAAAACAAATGTAAACATATATATATATATAATCCGTAGGGTTCTCAACCAGTATGAAAAGGTAAACATATATAATCCCTAGGGCTCCAAATACCTTCTGAGAAGGTGTTTGGGGTGGGTTTAGAGGGTCCAAATACCTTCTGAGGAGGTACTTGGAGCCCTATAGGGAAACTATGATTATCAAAAAAGAGCCGCTGACCATCAAACAACTTGTTGCCATGTAGCTGCTTCAGTTGCTTTCACCACCAAACAACATCAAGCAACACTAAAAACACACCGGAACCGTCAAAAAAACACCACACCGGCCAAGTGACAGGATGGTGGACTGCAAATAGACCACCGGAGCCCAGGACATGATGCCAGCGGTCGCCAGCGGCTGCAATCCCCAAATCCCCACCACATCAGTGCCTCCTCGGGCGGAGCGGAGCTGCGGCACGGTGTGGGAGAACAAGTAGCTAAGTAGCTGTGGAAGAACAAGTAGCTTGTGTGAAGGTTGGAGAAACATCATCAAACATCAAACTGGGAAGGTTGGAGAATTCGGAGAGTGTTATTTTGCTGGTGTCCGTGTGATTTTTGAGGGAACTCAGACTGGCTCCACCTGGAGCCCTCCAGGTTGCTCTCAAGCTGGTGGATGCCTCTTTCCCATCAAGGAGCCGGTCACCCAAGGGGCCAACTGATCTGGGACGTGTGTTCTCTGGGGGGCTCCACTGATCAGGTTGTAGCAGTCAGAACTGGAGACAACAGGAGATGCACAACTCGGTGAGGTTTCAGCAGCCCGGGGAGCACCTAGTCACCTAGTCAAACCACTCCCTGGAACAATCATGGAAGTGGAAAAAGGCCCTGGAAAATGATGTGATTCTCCTCTACAGGCAGTGGTTGTCCACTTCCATGATTACTTCAAGGGGTGTATCAGTGCACCAATTGGTTGCATGAGGTTCTCTTCAAATCAAACCCTCTTCCCTCACCTTTGTCGGCGTAGTCTGATTGCAGTCGATTGGATGGCCTAGGATTGACTGCGCCAATCACTCACGAAAACACACCGTGACTTGTCCATGAAGGGGTCCAAAAGCCGGCCATGCCGGGCCCTTGGACTGCGACACCGCGTTGAAGGCACTGATTAGGTCACCATCGCAATGGGCAGTATGGCATGCCAAGATGCCATGCTGGAGTACAAACAAGGTTGTTTGACCATGTTTGACCAAGAGTGATCCTTCACAATTGGTAACAAACACACCTTCATCCAGCTGGGATGAACCAAACAAACGTGATGCCCTGTTTTGGGCCTCCATGGCCCACGTTGCACTGTTGGTACTGTTGAGAATTATATATGTTGGACCACCAACCACCCAATATATGGTCTTTTCCCATCAAAACAGAGGTAAATGGGTTCCAGGTATATATAATTAATTCATTAAGCATCAATGGGACTCTCAACAAAGGAGGCAAAGTCAAACCCACCCTTTACAGCTCGAGTGATGCCAATTGTTTTTCACAGCTCTTGGATGTGTCTTGGGATGGGACGAACATGCCACACACACATACTTGGATTTGCCGTCGAACCCGGCAATAATATATAAACAATTCCATACAATTCCACAGAAGGGGATTTAACCAAAGGGAAAATAAAACACCATACAATCACCTTTAGCAAAACCTGGCATATGTCACATCCCTTGCTAACATATGCTACCTTGCCCTCAGCCTGTCCATCTTTCAGTCATCATTCTTGTCGGGTATCCGATCCAAAGTGCCAGCAAGGAGATGGCAGTCAAACAAAGAGCCACATTCCTCACCCAGCGTCTCACGTGACCGATGACCGAAGGCTCCCAGTCACCCCAGTCAGCCGGCCCTCGAGGCCGGCCGAAGAGCTCCCACCCTGAGGTCGGCCTCAACCCTGGGATCTACTTCATCGAGCCGTTTTGTGCCTCGTTTTGGCTTAACCACCTTTTCCTAAGAGACACTCATCAGTAATGAATCTAGATGAATCTAGTAATGAATGCAGAACACATCTTTCGTCTTTCTATGTCATATCATATTCTTGGCATGTTTTTTCGACTGCTATGGCTAGAAGAAATCATATGTTTCATCCGGGATATTTGTCCCTGGCCCCTTGGAGGCCGATCCCTTAAGGGTTGACCCCATGAGGCCAGAACCCTCCTCATGATTCTTCCACCTGGAGGTCCTGGCCCTTGGCTGAGGGCGATTTCGCATGCTGCGCAGTGGATGTGCTGCTACTGGTCACCAGTGAGCCTTTAAAAATAACTGTGATGATACCTGATGACATATGTGAGATACCTAATCATTATAATGGCATACAGCCAGAACCACTATATGATGAGACACTATATGACATCGTGAGATCCGACCGGTGGCCGGGACAGTGTAAGCTCCACGTTCCGGCTCCCTATCGGCCCTATCACTTCGCCCAGCTGCTCGAAGAAGTCCATAACGTCCTGGGAGGGGAGTCGCCGACTCAGCGCGTCCAACATACAAAACCAACCTGAATTTCCCTGCTAGAAGACATGGAAGTGGAGTTCACCCCCTGCTTGCTGTTCGGATTTAATTTAATGTTTTTTTTTAATAAGGGGGCCGTGCCATCCACTTCCAATGATTGTTAGAGACAGAACGACAAGATTGATTTTAGCTATTTCATATTGATTCATATTGTGCTTCCTACGTGGGAGATTGTGGGAGCAATCACATGATAAACAATGCCTGACGGTGTGCGCCGACTATTGAAAGAAACGACAATGGGTCTGTTTCTGGTCAAAGTCGTTTGAGGCACTTCCATCGTCCTCGGTGTCCCACCTCAGCTACATCACAAGACCTTGTCCAAAACCTCTTGGTTGCAATCCCACTTGAACCATCCACCCATCCATCCATCCATCCATTTTGGGGCCCTGGTCATGGTCATATCGCTCACCCAAGAAAGATATTAGCTCTATCTAATACAAAAACAACACCCACTAAAAGCCTTCCCTCTCTCCTTCGTTTCCGCGCAGGGCGATGGAACGAAATTCCACGCGCGCTACTCCGCTACTCCGCCTCCGCGGGCGCTCCGGCTTCCGCGCGATGGCTGCGCTACTCTCCGGTCCGATGTCCTCGTCCATCTCCTCGAGGCGCCGCAGAAGCAGAAAGGCCACGAGGGCTGGCAGCATCCCCACGAGCACGGTGTACCAAAGGGCCTGTCGACCGATCGGGACCGATCCGGACCAAGGCGCGGAAAGAAAGGACGGATCGATCCACGCCTCGGGTGACGGGACAATGCGGTGACAGTGTCGGCGACATGGGTCCGATTCCTAGAGGTGATGTGTGTTGCGAAAGGTGCCGCTTTTTGGGTTGAAAGGATGAAGGGCAAGCTTTGGGATGGGATGAAGGGCTTTTTGATTGGGGAGGGGCCATTAAGCAAAGGAAAAGAACATATTGCAGGTCAGGACGGGGACAGGCCCCATGTCAAGAGGTTAAGGTGGAGCCATGAGACCCCACGGTCCCCCGCCTGCATGAAGGGCTTTCGTGACCTGGGGATCGTGGGTACCGCGGCCACAAAAGAGAGGAGCACGCAAAGGATCACGCTCGAGAAGTAGAGAGCCTCGAAGGTTGGAGGATAGGCGACTGGAGGATCAGCATAGCTTGGGGTGAATCCTGAAGTTTCAAACAGAGTCTATGTCTAGTGGTCCCCAAATAGATAGTGGCACTGTGTCCAATGAATTTTGAAAGGGATTTTACTTTTCTATCTATTTGGGTGTTTATTTTGAGCATTCGATTTGGACCATGATGCACCATGTGCAGCTGCGATGACTGCTGCGATGCTGGTCAGATGTGTGACTAGTGGAAACACCTGGAATAAGAGCAATTGAACAAAGCTCATGGACATCTGTCCACCAGCCCTTTTCAAAAGTCTGTGCACTACAAAACCAAGTCAACGGAAATGCATATGTTGCATAGGCACCGAGCTTCCATCGGGTCATTGTGCCCAGCTACCACTTTAAGGGCTGGGTGGGTGTGCGTGCTCCATGAAGGGTCTCTCTCGAACCTTTTCCGGTAGTGTGGCCACCCAACTTTCTAAAGATGTTACTCATGCAATAAAACCCATTACCAGGACCTTCAAAGTGACCTCTTTGGAGTCTCTAAGCGACCTCCATGTGGGAACTAAGAGGTCACTTTGAAGGTCCTGAAATAAATGTGCTTACCTCAGAAGGTATTTGGACCCTCTAAACCCACCCCAAAAACACCTTCTCAGAAGGTATTTGGAGCCTTATATATGTTTATCTTTTTCATACTTGTTGAGAATCTCAGGTCCAAGCCACGAAAGCCCACAGGCCCCAGTCCGGTCGCCATCGGCACCAACAGATCAGCCCAGCAGAGATGGCCCAAAACAGCAGCAGCAGCACCGCCACTCGGGCAGGTGAGCCCTCCTGAAGTTCATGTTCGCTTGGGAAGCTTCGCCCCTCAAATGAGGAACACTTGGGAAGCGTGGCACCCCACGCAGCCATGGAATTCACTCATGCAGCCATGCCCCCCCGGAGTCTGTGAACCTTCGTCAGGTGAGTGTGCACCCCATGGAGATGCAAGGATGTGCCGTTCAGATCACATGTCCCTGATCCTGTGGAATATACACGTGTGAAAACCGTGCATCTTATTATGCCTTCTGGTGACAGTGAAGGGCACATAGTTGACATATATTGCATGGTACAACAATTTGTTGGGGGTGTGGTGGGTGGTGCCTGCAAATGGATATCTCACCCCCACCTTCTGTAGAATGCAGAACTGTATCTCGTGTTTTCTGGCACATTTTAGACGATTTAGACGCATGTTGTCGTCATATATATAGTCTGCATGCCAGTGTATTCAACCTAGGTGCGCCAGTGAGAAAAAAATAAGTCGTCTCCCAATCCTGGATCCACATTACCGAACCAGGTCGGCACGGCGAGCAGGGAGACAAGTTGTATGTAAGCGCCAGCCAGTCGGCCTTTCCCGGGGTGGTGCCAGGGGGGTCGACCGTCCGTCCTATGGCAGTGGCCAGGCCGTGTCTGGGATAGGGACTTGGACCTTCTGCGACCCGTCCACCGGTCCACCGGTCCGGTGACGTCCATCGAGTCATCTCCGCTCCTTCGACTCCGGAGCTTTCTCCATGGCGAGGAGCGTCGCGTCGCGGTTGGAGAAAGGAAACACCAGGGATCAAAACCACCTATAGCGAAAACCACCTGGACCTTATGCCCTGGTCTTCCTCGACGGTATTTGGCATCCTTTCAAATCCTAGGGTGTGTCTATATGGATATTCTATTCTGTCTTTAACTTGGGTGACCAGTGATCTCAAACTCTTTGGGAAGTTTGATCTTCGGTGTTTCTTGAGTCACGGCCCAGAACTCGGCGAAGAGTCCCAGAACTCGGTTGTATCACCTATTATACAATAACTAATCGGAGCTCTTGGAACACCAACTCCTTGCTTGCAAAGCGAACGAGGAATTCTTTATGGCAACAGAAACTGGATATGAAGATGAGAAACATGATGAACATGGTGAGAACATGCTGGAGCGACTGGTCTTCTTGTTTCTATGAACTCGTGTTTGCTTCATGGACTGGTAGACCCCAATGACTCAAATGGATCGCTGTCTCTGGCGCCAAATGCTGTGATGTTCCAGATCTTCCTCGACTTAGTTTGGAGGGCTTCAAACAGATCGGTTTCACATCGCATCATTTGAGCCGACCAAGAGCGTGTGACGAGGCAAGTGAAGGCATGTGCGGCATACAGCGATTCGGAAGCACATTCATGCTAGCTGCGAAAAAGCTGCTATGATGTCACATGGAAGTCCACAAGCACACTACAAAAGTCCGAAAGCATCACTCATTCTAATTCAAGTATCATCCATCTAGAGTGAAACAGGACGTCTTCCACTTCCGGATCCATGTTAGTTTGGAGGAGGAGTTGCCTTTGACTGGCTGCTGCAAAATCCGCTGGTCAGGTCTGCATTGCTTCCCACCAACCGCCCGCACTGCAAAATCTGAAGGAGCAACAGGCCCCGGTAAGAGCCTCAAATGTGATCCTTACGAGCAAGGTTTGCTGAAGGCATGGACATTCAAACACGGGAAGTGATGATAAACGTGAGACTGGGCATTTTTGGGTAAACCCAAGCAATTCTCCATTCCAACCTTGATACCTCTCTCTCTCTCCCCCTCTCTCCGCGCAAAAGCGCATCATTATTTCTACTTGGAAGCAATGCTGCCAATGCTAGCTGCGCTGCCTCATTCATCGTGTGGCGATGGATTTCAGCTCCACATCGAAGTAGAGCCTTGGTGGGTTCGAAGAGATTCCTTCACAAAACCGGGGCCACTGACCGACCGACCGCTCTTCCGAAAAGTCCCGGCCCGGCACGGTGGTAGGAGCTTCCGTGTTCTTCACTGAGGCAAAAGACATATTGTCTGACTGGACTTCACTGGGTCATTGTTATATATAGCTGGTGAAGTCTAGCATAGAAGTCTTACACCCCCACAGTACTACCGCCCCATACACCAAACAAAAAGGATGGATCCTCCCTGCTATATCACACATCCCTCTAGACCTCCCATTTTTGCACACGTGGCCCCAGACCTCATGAACTCCTGCTCCACTCCTCTAGAGCCTCTACTCCTCTGACTCTCTGGTCTACTCCTTCTCCACGGCACGTGGCACCCGGCGGGATGGGCCCGATGCCGCGGCTGCCGTAACCCAGCTGCGGCGGCACGATGATCTGCCGTCGCTCGCCCACCTAGCTGCCAGGCGCGTGTGTCACGGGTCCGAGTGAACTCTGCCGTCGTTGACAGATTTCAGGGTACCCTATAGAGATCCAGTCGTACCGTACCTCAGGTATGGTGATGTGGAGGGTCCACTGTCATGTATGTGCCAGGAGGGTCCAGTCGTACCGAACCTGAGAAGGTATTTGGATCCCTACAATCAGTGGAGTGGAGGCGACAAAAGCCGAGAGCCGAACGAGACAGTTCGGAGATTCTTTTCACGTGGAAATGGAACATGAAAGCTGGTACACTCAGGCACTTCGCTTGCAAAAGAAGGCTTGGGCGCAAAGATGTGCAAAGCTTTCCTGTTGGAAACTTAAGCAGGTGCAACCTGTTGGAGGGTTCTGCTATCTGTCCTGCTAGAGTTCTGCAACATGTCGCATCAAAGCACTTCATGGCATCAAGTGCCTCCAAATTGAACACCCCATCCGCCCCAACCTCGTGACACCCCGCACTGCGCAAAAAGGCGGCCCGCGGGAAACGAACCAGGAGGGTGCCTTCATGCTCAACAAGGCCTCGTCCCAGCCCTTGATGACCTTTCCGATGCCGACCTGTTGACCGTCACGTGGGCGGTGAGACACACGGTCCCGACCAGGTCCAAAAGGGCTTAGGGAGAATGCCAGCAACACCGGGAGGACGTGCGTGACAAACAGGCACACAGGGGATGGGCTATATTCACGTGTGCACATCCTCGATTCATCTGCCTTGCTATTGCCTTGCATCTCTTCTTGAAAAGCGTCTCTGATTTCAGTGCTGAAAACCACCTGAAAGCACCCCATCCCACCATATCCCACCATATCCGTGGACACCTCGGACACGATTTTGATCGGCCTGGAACTCCAGCGGTTGCCTCCGGTCACGTGAGGAGTCGAACTTCTTGTCCGACTCGAAGTCGTCCAGCCAGCCTGGCGGGGTCTGCTCCATCGGAAGAAGCTGAGCAGCAGAATTCGCTCCAATCCCTTAGGGCGACTTAGTCGTACCTCCTCAGGTTCGGTATGACTGGGACCCCCAGTCCCACCTTCTCGGAGCCCTAGGGTTTTGGAAGAAATTAACACGTGCGAAAGAATTGATTTGCGTCTTCTTTTCTCACACATATAGCCGTCGTTTCACGAATCTGGTCATATTTTTCTGAGCACTGTGGTCGGATCATCATTGGTAATCCCCTGTTTCCTTATGTGGCCGAACTTTTCTCTGCAATACAATGTTACAGACAGTGTTTCAAAACACAACAAGTTGCCTTGAAGACCGAAACGCGCCTGTGTAGTCCGCCTTGATGCGTTGTCCAGTCGTGGGGATGGGCCCATCGCCATCCAAAAGCACCTTGTACTGCAAGCCCGAGGGCGTCTCAGTGAATCCCTCCTGCGTTGAGAAAGGAATCAGAAGGACGAGTTGACTTGGGAATGAGAAGAACATTTGGCGCTCACATCACTTGGAGGTGCTTGCTCATCTGCAAGCACACGGACATTGGTCAGCTCACACAATCACCCCACCCCATCAACCTGGAACTCTGAGGGAGCGACTTCTAACACATATCAATCAAAAGAGTAGTGGCGGCTGTGATAGTACAAGTGGCGGCCAATTTTTGGACGAACTGAGAGGAATTCCCTAAGCTTGAGAGAACTGACCCTAACTGGCCCCCAAAAGCTGTATCAAGGAACAACTAGAGCCACTGCGTTCCACTGTGCTCCTTTTCACCGTTGGAACTCCCCCACCCTCACTGGGCTACCCGTGCCCGTGCTGCTCGCGCCGCTTGTGGCGCCACGCCCGCGACGACGGGCGCGATCAGCAGCGCGCGGCGAAGGCCCAGGACACCCTGCGCGAAGGTGGCGCCACCCAGCAGGGCTCCTGCAGGTGGCGCAGCTCAAAACAAGGACCCTCCCAGTCTCCTACACAAGTGTATATCATTGCTCCGTGGGACTTGCAAGAGGATGTGCGTGGAAAATCCTTAGCTCAGTAAAACAATGGTCGTGGTATGGTGAAGACGGAGGGTGCCAGACAAGCATGAGTCCAGGACCAGCCGAAAAGGGTCTGCCTGGTGCTCTAGCAAAATTGATGTACAAAAAAGGAAACCCAAACAACATCGGTGAATGAAGCAATCAGCATAGCCCGGAAGACTGCCATGGGTACTGAGCAAGTTTAAGGACTGACCCGTGACCCACCTGCTTATATAGGTACTACATGGTACTACCATTGCAATTAGGTTCCTTATGCTACTAGGAGCAAAGGGCATCGCTACGAACGGAGCAGGGACGCTACTAGGGGCTCCTGGCCTCGTGGCACCACAAGACCTTGGGGATCTCAGTGCTGTCACCTCCAAAGCCCCCGAAGCACCAGCCGCGATTGGCAATTGGAGCCTGGAGCCGAAACCTTGGGGATCCAATCATTCTTACCGCTACAGGTCTTCCGGATCGTACTGGATGTGGTCGCTCAGGAACAGCTCTTATTAGGTCAACCTGGATTTCTAGGATTTTCACCCGCCATACGCCACGTGGGCCGACGCACCGTGACAGGTCCTGCCATGAGAAGAACCAAGCCGCCCACGCGGCGGGTCATAGTGTCAGGCTCCAGTGCTTTCAGAGGCGGTCCGGGTGGCGGCCGGTGCTTTTGAGCCCAAAAACTTGAGCGTTGCAGGTACGCTCTGACGAACACATCACATGGAAGTGGAAAATGCAACCCTGGAATTCTACCGTCCTGGGGGGTTTTCACTTCCATGTTGGTGAGTCAAAGTGTGTAGGTTGAAATACCTTAAGCAATCACATGCTGCTCGGCGGTCCATCTTCATTGTCTGCCCAAAGCAACGGCAGCATCATAGGACACCTGTAGGCTTCAAGAACATCTTCCTGGGTTTCCCGCCCATCAGACCGTTCCCCACATCTTCCAAATTACAGACCTTGGTCTATCATATGACCTGCGCCCCAGTGGATGATGGTTAGGTTGCAGGCCTGTTCTGGTTGACCTGCTACAGGTAACAGATGGTAACAGGGACCGACCCTAAACCCAACATCTTCCCGTCAAGTCGACTATAAAAAAGAATGGTCTTTAGGGGAACTGAAAGGGAACTTCCTTTACTTCAGCCGGTCAAAATATAGTCTTTGGACTTCTAGGGCTTCCAATTCAGCTCGCACGGGTGTCGTTTTTTGGGGGTGTCAGAGTCTCGCACCTCCTTGACTTTGTCTGACACGCGCTGCTGGCAGGTTTCAATGAAGGCTTCCCTTGGTGTCTGGGCATCTTTGACGAAGTGAAAAACAATTCTGGAAGGTGCTACCCTCCCCCAGTTCCCAGCATGGCCCCAGTGGGAAGAGGAAAATAGTCTGAACATGTCTGAACAAAGCATAACAAAAACCTCCTGATAGGGGCAGGTAGGTAGGTAGATGGGTGGGTGGGTGGGTAGGTAGGTGGGTGGGTAGGCCCTGGAGCAGTTCTCAGGGTAACAAGAGTGTTCATCTGGAGGGGTGCAGCCTCCAAGTTATTCACATACAGTCAACTTAACAATATCATTGTCTTTGGCCTGTGGGAGTTTCACCAATAAGGCTGGCATGGTTCCATGATGCTCTACTGTAGGGGGGCGAGCTCTGCGGAGGTGCCAGTAGTATCAAGTGAAAAGGAGAGAATCGTTTGGCGAGCTCTGCGGGAACATGGTCCATCCCCGATGTTCATCAGGCAATCCTACCCTTGAAGGAAAATTTGATTGACGCTCTCTATTTGGGGGTAATTGAAGCTGTCCGAGAATGTTGTTCACCAGGGCCCCAGCACTGTCTGCCATTGCTGAGCAAAGGCAGGGATATGATCCTGGCACACATGGTCGCCTCCATTCATCCCTCATGACCTACCTTACTCAAGGAGGAAGCATGGCACCACCCACAAGTGGGTGAACGTCAGGGACCTCCCCTGTCGTCAAAAGGGCCTTGAAATGCCTTGATCATATGATTTGATGAACATGCCTATGCCACATTCCCCCTGGTCCTGATGATCTAGTTGGCCAAACTCCCTAACATCCAACAAGGCTATCGGATCAGATGCATGCTTTCCTGTTGCCTTACATCAGCCACGATGTCAGGGCACGATCTTCACCGATGAGCCAAATAGAAATGGGTCAACATCGATCACAGCAAGCTTTGCTTGACACCAATCTACAGAACCTGGCTACCACGCAGCAGCTCCATATTGGACCATAAGAAGACTTGGCGGAATAAAGTTGCCTTTGCTGGGCCTAGGCCTGCTGTGTACATTCTCTTGCACACAGCTCAGCTTTAAACATAGTTGAAGGTGGTTTGTCAGCTACCAAGACTAGCTGAACTTCAGGTCAGTCCATCCCTCCAGTCCATGTCTTCCCATCCTGTCGCCGCCACAGCTTCGCCCCTCAACCATCCCTCCCTCCCACAGCTTCGCGCCCGCGGTCGCACCCGCAAGCGTTCCAACTGCCGCGCCAGGACGGAGATCATCTTGAGACGCGCCTGGGTCGGATCAAATCGAGGGAGAGACCTCCATGGAGTGGGGGGGGGTTGGAGTGGGGGGTCAAGATGGGTCCAGAATCCGTCTTTCAGAGGCTTTTGGGGAAATCTCCCTTTGACTCCAACTGGAAAACCGAGTAGTGTTCTGTTCTTCCCACAGGTCACGACAGGAGAAATTGATCGTTGGAACCAGTGAAAGAGCTGGATGGAGCTACTGCATGGGCCCAGTTGGATGGTGCTTCATCATGCAAAAACGGCAACAATCATGAAGTGCAACATAGGCCCCCCCTGGAAGTCCAGCCATTCCTCTAAAGGTGGGGCCTGCTCAGCTTCCGTCCGAGGGAGGGTAGAAGAACTACTCTCTGAGGGAAGGACTCCGCATTGAATCCGCACACAGCATCCGTGCTTTTGGTGCTTCGTTTTGCGCGGACGCAGAGCGCACGAGAAGCGGCGCAGAGCGGGCCTTGAGCCAAAACAGTGCCGAGCCTTGGCACTCCGGAGATCTTTTCTCCCAAACCACTGTAAAGTAAGTGTCACTACCAATTGCTGCCTCAGGCGTTTTCCAGCGTCTGGAAATACTCATCGCTGATGAGGAGTCCAGGGCAAGAGCCGATGGTGCTGCAAAAGTGCACCTCTGAGATTTCACAGTGCTCCTGAGCCATCACGCACGTCAGTTCCCAGCAAACCTGCTTGCTCATTACTCAGTCCTAGGAAATGTGACCCCCCAATGGATATTATAAGTCTTGTCAAATCACGATCTATAGATGTTTACATAGAAACGCCAAGCTTGCCCTCTCTCTCTCTATGTCTCTAAATATATATTGGCTAATAGACACCCATTAACCTCTAAGGAGCTATTATTGGACACCTGTTAAGGGGGCCAGGTATATATAATCAAGAACAAAATGGCTCAAAACTCAGAGGAGTTCAGGCTCCATCACGGCCAAAAGCAATGCGATCTTGGGTACAATGTAGCCCGGTGGCTCACGCAACTCTCCTGGCACGAGGTGATATGACAGTTACTTGGGGGGGGTGGATCGGTGCTGGGGGGGGGTTGCTGCCTTCAAAAAGATGTAGAGATTCGATCACTCGTTTGCGCGGATTCCTTTGATAAAAGGCTGAGATGCGTGATCCATTGTCCCTTTAAATCGGGAGTTGGAACTTGGGGAATGGCCTTCTCATGTCTTCTCTTTATTCTTTGGCGGGCTTTTTGTCCATGTGACACTGCGAGTGATTTTGGGACATCCGGAGGCTGAACAACAATGAATTTCCCCCCCCACATCCTCCAGCAAACACATCACATGGTCACAATTTCAATGGATGGCTGGATGGCCCACCCAGTTGGTAGAGGAAGCTTCGCCATCCGCCCATGCCATCCACTTCGTGGCGACTCCCCCAGTTCCCCTGGTGTAAGAGATGATATCATGGTTCTTCCAAGTGACCGAACTTGATATCCCAGCTTGAAGTCACAAACAGGCCTGTCAAAGGTCACTCAAAAAAGGCACTCCAAAGAGGTCACGTACTAAAGAAGCTGCATCATGCGTTGTGTTGGGAGTTCTGACACCATTCTTGGACCCGGACCCTTGGAGCTCCATCGAGCGCCGAAAGGGTCCTGCGTGCGGCGCGCTGAAAACCCGTCCTTGGCAAAAGGCGCGTGAGGAGAGCTCTTCATCGGTCTGATCCACCACACCTCGGCACCGAAGAGCACGGCGGTGTGGTCTTTGGGTTCGGGTCGCCGTACCCACCAAGCTGCGGATCCTGCAGCAGAAAAGGGTCTTCTGCAAGAAGGGCTTGGACGATCCCATCGGGGTCTTCTGCCATTCTCCCATTCACTCCTAAGGATCACCCAGGCTAACCAGCATTCCTCCCACAAAGAATTGCATTTGGCTTGAGTACTGTATGGGATGAGTCAGCCTTTCCTATTCTTTAATAATGAAAACGAGTTTTCAGTGACTTGGTGAACGAAAGATGCGAAAGATGTGCAGCTGGCCCACAATGGGTGCCCCTGTGGGCTGTTGAAGTAGTTCATCTCCTGAAAGCTGCAATTCTCTGTATAGGCTCTGGACATGGCCAAGGTTGAAGGGGGGCACTCCAAATGACCAAATCCTGGACAGGGCCTGGAAGACGTCTGAAACATCAAATTTAACGTCTGAAACATCAACTTTCTTCATCAAACTCTAGAAGATCGTAGTTTCCTCAACTACAACCCGGCGCGCCAAAGAGCACAGTCCATGTGCGTCTTCAGCGAGGTCACTGTGTCACTTCCAGAGGTGCCACTATACTGTTCCCTGGACGGTTCCAGTGACTAACACGAACTCCAAAGCCACCTTCCAGTGCCGCCTTCCGTCAGTCCATCTGTGAGAAGTTGGATTTGAGGTGATCATCCTTCCCCTGCCCCCGATACCTTCTCTGATGGTGCAAAAATACCATTCGAGTTGTATGATTAGAGATATACGCATGGTACCCAAGCTCGCTACTACAGAACTAGACGGGTCGGGACTTCCCAGACCTCCAAAGTCTTTTAGCACGTCTGGAGCTCTAGCACAAAGGTCCTGATGGTCCTGGACATTCCTGGACCTGTAAAGCCAAGACGCTCTTCAAGACTTCGCGGATCTCTGAGGGGCGGTACTGCCGCTTCCCTAAGGCTTCGAACGCCACGCAGAACCTGAGCCAGTCCACCCTTCTGGCTAAAGCCTCACACACCCCCTAGGCGTGTGTCCTACACCATGCCCAAATCAACCCTTGCATGGAGAGAGAATCTGTATACACCCCTCCACGCGTTCCAAAGCCAAAGACAAGTTCAGGAAGTGTCTTGATTGGATGAATATGTCCGTGTCCTTGATTGAAGGGAAAGCTTCTCGCACCAACCAGAAAGCCCAAAGCCCTCACTGCCCTGCCGGTCCAAGTGCGTTCAGCTCACCAAAGCCCCCAAAGCATGTCAGCTTCGTCCTTTGGTAGGGTCCAAAGCTCCCCCCTAGCTCATTCATTCTCTGCAAGCCACCAGGTGTGGTATTTTTCCAGGACCGGCCCAAGAACGCCTGAACAAGGCCTCTCTCCAGCTAAAGGCCCAGCCGCATAGAGTTCGGCCCTCCAATGGCAGTG